CAATCAGGAGGTCACCAAATTTCCAGTACTGAAAATTCTGGAAGTCTCTAAATTAAATTACAAGTTCAGTTCTTTATACATTCATTTCTGGGAGCAAAAATACTTATGTTTCAGGAGAGTAGCTGCAGCTTATTCAGCATGGCCCATTATCACAAAATGCTATATTTTCAAATGACATTTTCCAGCCTGGGTATTTCTGCCAAACCGAGGTTGTTTTGTTCTTTTTTTTTTTTTAATTTCAGACAAAACGGTTCATCGGTTTCTGAGAACAAAGCTAGCAAAAAATGTCCAGGAAAGCTCTGCAGCTCCGCATTTTCAGGCAAGAAATCTCGATCAGAGTAGCCTTTGTGTCAACAACGTGGCTATAACCCTTTCAAAGTCCATTTGAGTCAGTCTTATAAAATGCTGTTAAAACCTGCTGTTTGCACGGGCTCAGGAAAGATCTGTCAGGGTTAATGCTGGGCCTCTCCAGTTGTCACCGTCTCCAAACCGCACATGGACAGCCCCACAACTTTCCAGGAACCAGTGCCAGTTTACATGGGACATTCCCTCCATTCTGCCTGCCCCACAGCCACATGGCAAACTTAATCCAGTCACTTATCTGAGTTAAAAGATCCCAACCCAAACAGGCAGACAGGAAGAAAATACTCTTCATCCAGTTTACGATGGGGAGGCCAAGGTAAGAGCGTGCTGCAATCACAGGGAAGGAACGTTCCTAAAGCCAGCAGAGAGCTGGAGCTGCAAGCTCAGGCCTTCCAGCCTCCATACTCCAAGCCATGGGCAGCCAGGAGGGCCCCATCACAAAGCCTGTCAAACTGGAGCAAGACTGGGAAGTGAAACAAGGAAGGAAATGACTGAAGTTTCACTAGCATTTCTTCTGGCGAGCCACCAGTTTACACAACTCTTCATCACCAGCTCCCTACCAAGCCTGTAGTTGCAGCAGTCCAAATGGCACATGGCCCTGTCTAAGAGGAGAGCCTTTTACTGGTGGTGGGCTGGTTCTAACCTAGACTAGGTTTCCAGTACAGATACCTGTACTGCTCCACAGAGGAGGGATGGGGACAGTGAGAAAGAAAGTAAAGAGGAGAGGGCAGCAGCTTATACACTGCAATGATCCACAAAAACTATCACCAAACTATGCTTGAGAAGCAATTCTGCATTGCTTAGCGGAAGAAAATGAAAATTTAACAGAAAGTGAACTCTTCCAAGTCAATGAAGAAGAAGCCAGCCCAGTGGGGAAGGAAATGAGTATACTGGGACTAGGAATCTTGTATGTCTGGGCTCAGACAAGTGAAAGAAGAAAAAGCACATGATGTCCTTTCCGGTGGAGGGAAGCTATTTATGTTGGCCCAGCTGCCCACGAAATGGCAGCCTATGGCTGGGAGGAAGAGGAAAGAGGGAGTTGGCTCAGAAGGGATGCTTGGAAATGGAGACTTGGACTGTTGGGCAAAGAACTGGAGGGCTGGAGGCAGACATTAAGTTCACAGAGAAATTATCAGTTTGAAAAGGGGCTGTATGGGAATGAACCAATGACTGAGCACCTGGTGAAGGTACACAGCCAGCCCAGGGAGCACAGGTGAAAACAATTCACCGGTGTGACTGGAACCAGGTTCCACCTCTCCCTAAGCCTCATTTAAGGGGTGGCTGCCCCAAGGGAAGGATCTGTACCTGGAGATCCTTCCTTTTGGTGTATGTGTAAGACCTGATCCTGGGGGTTGGTAAGTAATGCTTTCTTTCTTAAACTGGATTGTGACCATCAACTTTTTGGGGGGCAATTTAGGCTATCTGCCGTTGCTTTACCTTATAGGGGCATTTTATCATATGGATGTGTTGAATCCAGTTACTGTTTTCAAGACCCAAGAAGAATAATCTATTCTTACAAGTACTAATTTAGTTGGTTTTTTTTTTTTTTTTTTTTTTTTTTTTTTTTTTTTTTCCTATAGTACTCAAGGCAAATTAAAATAATAATACATGATAATACAAGTAAGGAAACCCACGTCCACCCTGCTGAACCACACCGCCTCTTTAAACCATGCTGAGATGAGAGCTGCTGGTGAAGTACCCTTCAAATCTCTGTAAGAATCATTGAAAAAGCAAACAGGGAGCATGGTTTTATCTGATTTACTCCTTCCAAAGTTGTGCAAGGTGTCTATACTCCCACAAACAGTTACTGTGATGAGATTTTTTTTTTAATCAAAAGCACCATTTTAGCAAACACTATACTAGTATGTATTTATGCTTTAGGTGGGCAAGGATATAATAAATGAAAGGGCATATATTGAGAAATTGAGAGGTTGCTGAGAATTTTTCAGCAGATGTAACTAGAAATCAACTGAGTAATGCACATATATACATCCATATCCCATACCAAATATCTTGGCTTTTCCCACATTTGTTACTTGTTACCATGTCCATTTAGCCTGAAGGAAAGAACTCTTCATATGAAAACTAGTTATCAGTGCACGGTAGAGAAGACAGCAGACTATCTACTACAAAACCTGCAGCAGCATTTGCTGTGCCAGCAATGTGTAACACCATGTGCTGCCAAGATGAGAACAGGTAAACCCTGATTCAACAAAAAAAAGACTTTCTTCAAAAGGTAGCGTTGGTGCCTGGTACTCACAGCCTGTGAGTGCTACTGAAGACTAGGAAAGCTGATATGAAATTTACTTAGCCTTACATTTGAGCTATTCTTCACAACAACCATAAGCGTAAAAAGTAAAGAAGTTTTAAGGGCTATCTGAATTCAAGCTTTTTGTCATGCAAAATGAATACACTCAGTAGTGACATGACTTATTTATGTACCTGCAGGGTATTCCTTAGAAATTACATAGCAACTTATGAAAGCAATGGGAACATTACTAATATAACACCATGTCATCTCCTGATATCAGTGTAAATGTCTTGGATCACCACAGTATTTGATAACATCACAAAGATAAATGTTTCATCCATGCATAATTCCAACAGTGGAGGATGAATGTGGTAGCAAGACAATTTGCATTCCTGCAAACGTACCAAAGCTCAATGGATATAACTGTAAAAATGTAGAAGTATTTTAGAGAAGCACTGAAAGTCGGTGTCTGTTTCTGAGGAGAAGGATTGAGGTGAGTGTGTCCAACCATGCCATAAAGAAAAAACCAAACTTCATAGTTTTCAAAACCTATCCAGGGAGAAAGGATTATGGTTTGACTTCCGATCCACAGTGAATTAATTACTTGTTTGTTACTGAGTACAAAAGATTAAACTGAAGCTTTAGGCAGAGCAAGTCTGATGCGGCTGTGCATCAGTGATTTCAACTGCTGGTCATAGAAACAAAGTACCATTTTAAAAGTTACCAAGCTTTCTTGGTGTTGTTCTATGCCCATCACTGGATCCAGGTGCAGCAGCTCCAGAGATAAACAGGTACCGCAGCTTGCTCCTGCATTCTCCATCTTCGCAGCCCCATACAAGTCATCCCCAAGAAGTCCATTCCTATGTACTCTATACCAGGTAATTCTTGCTCTCATTACAATTAAAACTGTGTGCTTACTCTGTGATCTCTGCAAGAGACTTATTAAAGTCAACTAACAGCAGCTCTTTGGCAGTACAAAAGCTTGTTTCGAGTACCTAAAGCAGGCCCAGTCAACAGAACCCTGGACTTTTTATGGGTTACCTTCAAAAGCTCTGAGATACCACTGATACCTGCAAATTCATGATGAAAAACCAATAGGAAAACAAGTAACAGTACTAAATATTAAATGCAAAGAGCACAGCTGTATGAAGCAGTTGAATCCCTTGCTAGCTATACTGCAGACATGGACAGACAGGATCGTGGATTAAGGAAGAGGTAATGATAAATAAAAGAGAAGAGAATCAAACACAGTGAAAATGCTGATAATTGAAGACTGTGTACTAGAGCTAATGCTTTCAGCAATGTTTGTCTAAAGCACAGTGTTCAGGGAAAGTGCATTAGCATCCCAAAACAAATGCAAAGCCCAGTTCAACCAAACAGCTTCATATAAATTTTATGTTTCTGCATTGAACATTCAAAAGCTGTGAGGTGTGGAAGCTGTCTGCATGGTAAATTTCCGTCTAGAGAAAATTTCCCCAGACTGAGGTTTCAAGCACAAATGCAACATGTTTTCCATTAATACCACTAAAAAATTCTGCAGATGTTTCAGGATGATGTTATTGTTTATAAAAAGTGACAATAATGCAGACAAAGAAAAGGTAAGATTGTTCACAGTTCTTTAGAAACTGGGGAATTTCATGGTAAAATACAGAGGTTAATTTGGGATCAATGCAGACCTACATGAACTTTTCAACGCTATGAAGAATCTGAGGCACCACTGTAAGACCAGAATTAAAAAAAAAAAAAAAAAAAAAAAAAGGTAAGGGAACAACAATGATTGAAAAGAGTTTGATATTTATCCAATCCTACAAGCAAGTTACTTTATTTTCAGTCTAAGGTCTCAGTCCAGAAAACTGTTCTGCATGGGCAGCACTGTGCTTCACCCATGCAATACAATTTGCAGGATCAAAGATTTCAGAAAATTCTCATGTCAGCCTATAGGCATCATCTGAAAAGTTTTGCACTTTTCATGCAGTGGAAATCAAAGTTCTCAAAGTGTATCTGAAAACTGTGAATCCCCGTGACTTTCAATGGCATCTCAAGAGACTCCTGGCAAGCTCCTGCCCCCTCTGTGAGCCTCTATGCTGTGCTTGCCAAGATTGCATTGAGCCTGTCCCTGGAACAGGACCAGGGAGATGATTTATCTGGAGCGATGGACTTATTTCAGTTGGATCGACTGTCCAGTCTTGCTCTTGCCAGCTCTGCTGAGCGGTGGCAGAGAGCAGTGAAAAACAGGCAAGAGAAAGTAACACCTGCTAACGTTGACCTCAGCATCTCTACCAAAGCATGTAAGACCAAAGCAAAGCACTTAATTCTTGTGATCAGGTTATTTCCCGCCAGGCTGCTCCTGCTCAACAACCCTATGATGTACGACGAAATTACTCACCGCCAGCAAGAGCTTCCTCTCTTGTGCTGTCACCATCACTAGGCTGAAGAATATTCCAGGATGTCAAAGTGAGTGAAGCCATGTCTTCAGCTGATGACAACTTCAGCATGTCCATGTGATTGCTGTGAGGTTTGTAACGTGGGATGAAACACTCTTTGCCTTGCTTAAAAATGTCCTTGATGATTTCTTCTGTCTGGATTTCATCTGGCATGCTCAGAAAAATTGCAATTCTTTTGGATTCTTGGTACTTGGAATGCCCAATCACCTATAAAGGAAACTGCCATCATCAGTTCAGGAAGAGTTCACAAAAAGACTGACTTTATTTTAATTAAAAACACCACTGGAGGAAAATACCCATTGGAGTATTGTAGAAATATAAGTAGAAATACAAATTACCATAAAGAGAATAAATTGACTTTGTTTCCTGTTCCAACACTTCTACCATCAACAAAATCAAAATAAGCAAATTTTTGTACCCAGATAAAAAATAAAACAGGTTGAGACTAACAACAAAACAATTTTGGAGTCAGTCCGGACCCTTCAAGTACTTATGCCATACAGCACCAGTATCCTTAAATACCCAACATCACTGGGGACAAACACAGCAGGTCAGAACTGCCAGCTTATACATGAGGTTTTTGCATTCCTTTAATTCCATCTTCTTTATATGCTGTGCTTCATAACTGGACCTGGCCACAACGAGAAGTGCATTGATTACAACATTGATTACAATAACCCAAAAGAAGATATGCATCAGAGCAGTTGACTGCAGAGCTCAAAGTCTTAGAAGATCAGGCCTTTCTTTTGTTAATCTGGGATGCCTTTCCAAAAGCAAATTTAGATATACAGCTACAAACATCACCTGCTTTTGATGAGCAATCTTATTACTGTCTGTTTTTCAGAGGTTGAAGGAAAGATGGACTTGCACGTTTTTGATTTTCAGGAGGTTGTCTGTGCTGGACTTAGGAAAGATAGAATGTGGGAAGGAAAACAAAAAGCAGTGAATGTGGTTTAAAAAAGCCAAATTAACAGATACATACCTTGCTGTGTCTCTGCCCAATTCCAGATTAAATCCCGTATTATGATTTGTGAGGATTTTTTTTAAAGGCCTATCTTCTCCTTTTCTAGTTTATTACAAAACAAATACAAATGGGTCCCTTGTGAATTAAATGGGATTTATAATTGTTCTACACGCTTCCAGACATCTCTCAAAAATTGAGAAATGGGGCTTAACAATGAACAGAGAACAGCAAATCCTCTGTGTTTGCCTAACTTCGGGGTAACTGCCCTTCTGAGCTTTAGCCCTTGCACTTGTTGGAGAAAGATATGCTAATATCTGAGTTTCAAATTGGTTCTCATTCCTTTTTGTCCTTTCTTTCTAGCACCCCAGTTACAAACCCAGTATCAAAAGACGGATACCTTTTTGGAAGGTAAGATATAATGAGGTACTCCAGCCCTAATTATGGTAATGTTCTGCTTGACAATAGAAGCACCTAGCAACTCCAAAGTGCATTTTATTTCTCTTTGTAATTTACCCAACCTTACCCACAGACTCTTCCAACTAAGTTATTAAGTTTTTGAACAACAGAATCTCCATGCTAGCCTTTGTTTGAAAGAATTGACTACTGAGTCGAATCACAGCACTGTCTGGAGCCTGCAATTCATGTTACTGAAGGGTTCCCTCACCTTCTCGTGGCTTCAGAGAACAGAGAAACTGAAACACACAGCTCTCTTCTTTCAAAGTGGTGCTCTGGGCACCATACAGGCCAAATGTGTTCTGACATGTCCAACAACACATTGATTATGCAGTACAGAAAGAAATGAGGTTGGAGATGTAAAACCACAAGCTACCAGGAAGACAAAATTAGTGATGTTTTCTGAAACGTGAAGATGAAGCTGCTTTGAGTAGTTTCTGAGAAGAGTAAAAAAATTTCCACGCTTAAAAAATATTATGTGCCCTCTGCTCACCCGCTGATGGCTATTACTGCAGAATCAGAGCATGCAAACAGCATGACTTCAATCATGGATGTGCACATTAAAGAAGAATAGTCATCCAGTAGCTAATTAAACACCAGTGGCTAGGCCAGCTAGCGTAGCAATTTCAGTTTGAACTTAAAGATCGTTTTGAGAAGAGATTTTGCTTCTAAAAATATTGTTCAGGTGCTATAAAATAATGTGCTTGCTTTTATTAGCTGCCGTTTCTGGTGTGTATTATAAAGCTGCACTTTAAGCCTCATGCTGTTCCAAGTATTTTCTCAGCACTCTCAGAAACTTCATGTCTATTGCATCGCTTTCCCATGAGGAAGTTGACTGCTTTCTGTCATTGCAGAATGCCACCCTGTCTGAAGAAAGCTCTAGACTTTCAACTTGTGTCATACTAGCAAAATGTCATGGTGGCATGAATTTGTCATATCTCCCCAGCCTTCCTTTAAGTAAAACAAAAGCTTTACCTTTTAGCACGTTCTTACTACCAACAATAAATGTGTTGCTGCTGAGTGTATCAGCTGTGGTCAGACCAAAGGCTGAGGGCTCCAACTATTATGCACTACGTGGCCTGGGTGCTTATAAGGTTGGCCGAGGACTGTGCATTTTTGGACAGTGTTCCAAAAAACTGGAATTTAAGGATAGGATGGGAAATTACTACAGTGCAAACATATTTTAGTAGGACATTATATATATAAAAGGGGAAAGAAAGAATGAAACATTCCAAATTAAAAAAAAAAAAAAAGCATACATGAGTTCTAGTTCAACCTCTGTCCTAAAGTTTCTGTGCTGCTATGTCATGAAGTGGCTGCACATCACTATTAAGTTTATAAAATGATTTTAGGTCCTTTTGCAGGAAAATAACTACAGAAATGCAGATCACCTACATGCACACGCTGGCGCTGCAAAAAAAAAATGAAAATAGAGCTGTGTTCTATTACGCGCAGTGACTGCAAAATATCTTTTTATTGTGTTTATTAAAATGATAAAATACAGCAATATAAAAATTCAATCACCCAAATGCAAACAGAAATTCCAAAAAGCACGGCTGAGGTGAGCCCTGCCCGGTAGCTTTAAAGCATGGAAATTACATTAGGAACAGAACTGCACGGAAGAAGCACACTGAAAGGCACGAACGGGAAACGGCAGCCGAAAGGCCGCAACCAGTCAGTCGCGAAGTTTTCAGAGGCGCTTTGCTGGGCGCACAGCGAGAGCGATGCGACAAACGCAAGCCGAACGCCTGCCGCAAAACCCCGCCGCTTTGGGCTCTGTCGCAAAGCTCGCCTCCGGCCTCACCGCCTCCCGGCACGCAGCGCTTCCCGCCGCGGCCTACAATCCCGGCCGCCGGCTGAAGGAAGGGAAGAGCTCGTTCCTCGCAGCGCCCCAGGAGCGGGGCGTCCTGCAATGCCCGCAGCCCTCCCCCCGCCTCCGGGTTCCGCTCTTCCTGGAAGCACCCACCTTGCGACTCAGCAGCCGGGACTGCCGCTGCTTCTCCGCCGCGCCCAGGGCCCGCAGTCTGTGCCGCAGCTCCGCTCGCAGCGCCCGCTTGGCGGCCCCCAGCGCCGCCGCCATTTCGCCGCCGCTCTCCGCCGGGGGCTCCATGCGGGCCGCGGCACCGCCTCGCCCCTGGCAGAGCTGACGGGCCGGGCACCCCCGCGGTTTCCAGTGCGACGGGGAGGGGACTGCGGGGCGGCGGGCCGGCCGGGGGTGCTCGGTGGCCTCTGAGGGGAGTTCATCCTCTGTCCACGCTCGGTCGGTCACCTCCGCTCAGCGCTGCCTGCAGGGAGCTGGGCGGTCCCGTGGTTTCGGGCCAGGGAAAGCTCCGGTGGGCTCTGGGCACGGTTTGTGTTTCATTTGGCCGCTAAGCTGTGAGGGTGCAGAGTCACCAAATCTTCACGGTTGGAAAAGAGCGCTACGATCACCCGGTTCAACCCCAGCCCACCCCACCGTGCCTCATGTCCCCCAGTGCCACATCCCCACGGTTCTTGAGCACCTCCAGGAACGGTGACCACAGCACCTCTCTGTGCAGCCTGTGCCGCTGCATCACCACTCTTTTGGAGACGTTTTTCCTAATATCCAACCTGAACCTCCCCTGCTGCAACTTGAGGCCATTCTCTCTCACCCTATCGCTGTTACTGGGAACAGAGGCTGACCCCTGCCTCAGCACAACCTCCCTTCATGCAGTTGCAGAGAGCAATAAGGTTTCCCTGAGCCTCCTCTTCTCTAGACCGAATCATCCCCGCTTTCTCAGCTGCTGCCTGTAAGATTTGTGTGTCCAGGCCCTTTGCAGCTTCACTGTCCTTCTCTGGGCATGCAGAAGGGTGAGACCAGTGCCATGCCAAAACATCTTCAAGGCCTGTCATTTCTTTTTTCAGTCTAGCATCGATTGCAAAGAATTTCCCCTTTCTTAATTTTGTTGTAGAAAGGGAAATTACACTTCAGCAGGATATTTGACCACTGCCTGCCAGATAGTTTCACATCCCTACAGGCCCTGGTGATGGCTAGAGGACCTGGAATGCGGATGAGATTTCGTGGGCTGCGAGGAACAGAAAGCGCTGCACCCACAGCAGCTTCACTCCCCCTGTGTGCAGGCCTGGGTGATGGGCTCAGAAGGGAGATACTGCCAGTGTCCTTTGGTTTCCTCATTATTAGGGAAGTGGAAACAGGCACTGTCATGCATCTGCTCTAGGTGTTCATAGAATTGTTGGGAGGGACCCTTGAAGACCATCTGGTTCTACTTCCCTGCACTGAACAGGGACACCTACAGCTGATCAGGTGCTCAGAGCCCCGTCCAGCCTGACCTTGGGTGTCTCTAGGGACGGGGCACCCAGCACCTCTCTGGGCAACCTGTGCCAGTGCCTCACCATCTTTATTGTAAAAAAAAATCTTTGCTTATATCCAATCTAAATCTCCCTTCTTTTAGTTTGAAACCATTTCCTCTTGTCCAACACACATTTCCTCTTGTCACAACAGACCCTGCTAAAGAGTCTGTCTCCTTTCTTACACTCCATCTTTAGATACTGAAAAGGAGGTCAGCTGAAGTCCAGCAATGAATGCTAAATCATCTCTCTTGCTTTCATGGAAGAGGAAGCGATACAGTTTCTGGCAGATGTTAACATCTGTGTGTGTAGTTAAAGCCACCAAGTTGGCTGGAGAACCCATTACCAGAAGAAGGCTGCTTCATTCTGCCAGTGTCATAAAGCCTTGGTGATACAGAGGATTTATTTCAGAATGTTGCTGCTGTGAGCCACAGGCCCAGTGCTACCTTGGTTCCCAACTGCAGTACAGTCAGTACAGCTAAAGAACACCCTTCTAGAATGAATTGGTGAGAAACTACTGTTTAAAGTTTCAAATCAAATGGTTCTTGAGTCCAAATAGTAGTTGCCCCAGACTATAAAAGTCTGGAAATCTGTTAGGGCTACTTGTGAATTTGCTGACTTGGCAGTGTAACCCAAAACACTCATTTCTGTCATCAAAGTTGATTCAGATCATTTATTTTATGAAAACTAGTCTATTTCTTTTATAAACTACCAAATCATAATGGAGCACTACAGCAAATGTAGTACTGACATACTTGGTCTTCTAACCCATGTATTTCTTAGGTTGTCCAGTAGCTCTCTAACAGCTTTCTTGAGTTACCTTAACCAGGTAGATCTTCCTCCCTTCTCCCATCCAACAATTTTTTTCTGAAAGAGATGAGGCCCACCATAAGATTTGAAAATGCATATTTTATTTTTTTCCCCAAAAATATTAGTGTAGCTACACTGTAACAAATTAGAACAATTTGTACTTCTCTCTTTAAAAAATTTCGTTTTAAAAAGTCCAGCCAGGTGACTACATTACAAAACTTTGAAAGAACAGTCAGTATAGATATGAGCAATTAAAAATAGAACAAAGAAACACATACCATTGCATTAACAGTAAGTGAGTGTACATTTATAAATCGCTAGCTTCCACAAGTTGTTCTTCCCATTAAGATTGCTTTGTCTGGATCAGTAACTTGTGCCCACTTTTACACTGCAATTTGCATTTCCTTTTTCTCCACAGAACCCCCCCCCCCCCCCCTTTTGCTTATACAAATGTTGCAATAAAAATGCACTACAGTAGTATTTCATTTACAAAACAAATGAGATTAAAACTTGTTTCCTAACCCATTGGATTGTATTTCAGTAAGACAATGTCCTTTCATTGGAGGTGCAACAGAAATTCCAAGAGCTGTGTGGATGCAAAGGACTCTCTCTCTCTCGAAGCAGTTGTGCCTGGAAAGGTTGGCTTGCGCTGCTGCACATGCAGCGTTGATTCCTCTTTAGAAGCATCTTTTCTTTAGGTTTGACAATTAGGAGAGTGTGTTAGACATTGCATTAGTCAAAATAAATAGAAATAAATTAAAAACAAATTATGCAGGGAAGTTATTTTCTAGTTGATACTGCTTGGAGGAAAACTTAGCAATGAAGCTTGTTGCAGCAAGCAGGTCCATTTATTTCAGTAGTACTCTCTGAACAAGGAAAAAACAGCTGCAAACATGTCTGTAATTGTAGAGAAAGATAGTGGTGATCTTCTTTCAAACTTTGTTAGGAAACCGTTTTCCTGTAGGAAAGAATATGCACAGTTAGGGCCAGCTTAGGATGTGCAGGAGAAATGCACTGCTTTGTGCCAGTATCAGTGACACTGCTACACCTTGGTGCATAGAGAGGCAGCTCTTCACAGCTCTACCTCCACCAGATGAATAGGGCTTCAAAATGAGTAGCTGAAAATAGCGGCCCCTTGCTGAATGTTTGTTTTATCTCCAAGTAAAGACTGTGCCCTGGCTATGTGAAGAGAAAATGAGTGTGAACTGCATCATCTGAGCCCACACCTTAGAGGAAGATACAGGTACTGTGTTTCTGATGTGATAATATGCTTGTAAATGTCTTCCTTGAACATCCTTATTCTGTTGCGATAAGGCACATATTATGACAGAATGCTGCCTGCAGTTAATACTTCTCCTCAATAAAAATAACTCTATATTTGCAAGGGATGCAGAGAGGATCATTACAACAAATCTGATGCATCAAGGGTCGTGACTCACTGCCTCCTTTTTTAATGTTATCAGAGAAGGATAAAAACAAGCAGAATAAAGGGAAACACTAGAAAACAAGTGAAGGAAAAAAAAAGAAATAGCAAAGAGGAAATATAAGAGAAGTGAGACTGGAGAGGAGTGGAAAGAGAAAGTAGCATTTACAAATAGGTAGAAGGAAAAAAGTACCAGGGAAATAACTGCCTCTGATGTCACTGATACTCAGCCTCCCCCGAAGAGCAATAGTGAAAGGTACTGTCAGGATGAAACTATGCAAAGCAAAAGGGACCTTGCCTCTGCTAGCAGAAGGGAATTTCAGCAGCTTGATGAACTCATCCGCATATTGACAAATGCTTTGCTCTGCTCTGACCACTGATGTATGCAAGTCCTAGGATTATCTCAGTCCAAACAAATAAAAAAGATTGGACCCCATTGTGCTTACCTGCAAATTTGTTTAAGTAAACTGATTTGGAGGATTAAATAATAGCTTCATGAGATCCACAGCAAAAGTACTGACTAGACTGTAAGAATGAGACTTGTGTATTCTTTCCTTTCCTTGAACATCAGTGTTTTTGGACCAGCTTGCTTCTGTGGAAGCAGAATTGCTGCTCTAACCATAGGATGCATTCACTTTTAAATTCAGTAATAAGAAGTGTGATGGAATGTCTTATTTAATGCGCTTTGAGCACAGGGTTGAATTAGATGGTTTCCTAACATCTCTCTCAGCCCGTATTATTGTACTATCATATGATTCAAGTCTTACTCTGGGGTTTTGGCTGTTAACAGAAAGTGCCTTTCTCAAAAGAAAGATGTCTTTTAACCTTGTTCTATTTAAAGCAGAAGCAAAGTTTTCACTGTAAGTCTGAAGCAGACATTGCAGACATCATAAATTAAGTCACCAAATAAAACCCTGGATAAAATGTTTTTGTAAGTGTCTGTAACAAAACTTTCCCTTAATTAAGACAAATCTTTGAATCTACACTGTGGTGGAAAATGAGAAGACACGCAATTGTAGCTTACCCAGCCACCATTTGCATCTATCCATGCGGCTTTGTTATTTATGATGTACTCTGTGATGAAATAAGAAATCTGCTCCTTCTCCTCTCCGGTGAGCTGAACTCCATGCTCTTGAAGCTTCTTGGTGAGAAGACCTCCAAAAGTAAATATGGTCGTAATTCGTCCCCAGTTAGTATTTCCGTCAGCAAACTTTTCTTCCATGACTCCATTGAAAATTCTCTTGGCAACATCTACAGAGGTAATATCGATCCTGTCCAAGATGGGTCTGAGTGCCTCCTCTGTCTGATCTTGGAGTGAGGACGCGATGTTTCGCAAGACGTGAGCAACTCTGGTTTGGGCTGGTCCAAGATGTGATTCCTGAAGCACATATTGCAGATAATCTTGAGCTAAATAATAAACATAATAGAACTCAGCAGTTTCCATTTAGTACGAAGCTCAGAGAGCAGTGTGCTGCTCTTAATCAGGCTCAATAGTGAGCAGCCACAGGACATGCACACAGCTTTGTATCTTCTGGTTTTGATGGAATTTTTTGGTTTTACCACAAAGTTCCTGTTCAAATGTAATGACTTAATGTGTAGGCTGTGAATATGTCATAGCGGAAACGAAAGACAAATGTCTGCTCCAGGGAGAAAACAAGTCTTGTTGAGTGATTTATTATTTTTACAGACAGTATGACTCTAAAACTGAATCTGCCATCTTTTACCATGTTCTTCAGCAGTATAAGTTTGCATTTCCTAGGGTCTTTTGCTATGTAACACTGGAAGAGATTCAGCTTTAAAAAATGTCTTGAAAAGTGCATGCTATAGGAATATGCAGTCTGCTCTTAACCCCCAACATCCTGCACCCCAAATCTCTTCATTACCACAGGTTAAAGCTGCAGTCTGCATTGCAGACCCACTGCATGTGGGTCAGTTCTACGTCACAAATTTTGGAAGAATCTGGTAGAAGTTTGCAGCATGGAGAAATGGACAAAGCTTTTCCATCAAGCAGGGAGCTTCATGTAACGACTGGCAGAGGAAGCTCAGCAGTGGTAAAAGTATGGAAAGCAAAAGGGGAAAACCAACTTTATAGCATGATCTCCTTCTCCAAACTTTCTCACACTCTGTGAGTGCTCTTCAAGGTCCTTCTTTGAAGATTTGAATGGATGGCTTCAAAGATTTCTTTCCCCCACAGGGAATTTGGTATGAAAAACAATTTGAGTATAAAAGACAATGCTAATGCAGTCAGTGTGTCAGAACATGAAGTAGAAAATACGGGGTGAAGCTGGTGATGTGTGATACCATCTGATTCTTTCTTGACAAATAACAAAATTAGCATGATACCTGCAGTGGCAACTCTTCAATTCTGTGTTTTGATCAGGCAGTTTTTTGAGGGGATAAGAGGCAGAGATGTCAAACCCACTCTTTCTTGACAAACCCAGATCTGACTTTCCTAAAGGGTGAAACTGTGGCGAGAGCTTCACCCCACTGCAAAGACTTCAGAGCAGCTGATCACGCTGGAGCAAAGCCTAACTAGAGCTGTGACACAAATGTGCTGTATTTATAGGTCTGGTTTATCCCCCCCAGGTTGTGGATGCTGCTGCTCTGACTTCAGTTTTGCAGAAAGCCATTGATTAGAAAAGCATACTTTCCACTTCCTTCTCAGGGTTTTTCTTTGTATGTGGCGAACCTGGCTCAGAGTGACACAGTAATTTTCCATGTGCAGCGAGGTTTGAAACCTCAAGCCATCATCATCAGTGTAGCCCAGACATCAATGACTTTGGTTACAAGGAAAATATTTGACTCACTTTCTGTTGGAAGCAGAGCTGGCTGATGCCGTGTTCACTGTGTTCAGAATGGGTTTGGGTGGGAGGTAAGCTGGAAAAACTCACGTGTTGGATGCTGCCCAGTGGCAGCATCAGGTTGGGGTGGGAAGCTTGCTGTCTCCTTCACACACACTGTCTTACCAACCAGAGCTCACTTTGAAGGTTCAGAAGTGTTCTCCATCCCATACGTCCAGCTGCTGCTTTGGCAGATTGGCTTTGCTTCTGTTATGCTCAGCGATGTCAGCAAACTGCCAACAGTTTTTTTTTGGGGGGGGAGGAAGGGGTGGTGGGAGGGGGGTAATGCAAATAGAAGAAAAAAAAAAGGAAAAAAATAAAAATATGATGGTTCTTAATTCTTCCAATTCAACTCAACCTGGGCAAAAATTTCTGGGATGGGGTAGCATGGCTCTGCTCAGCTCCTCTCCTGTCACGTGCTTGCTGCAAACAGGGCTGCAAGAAGTACTCGAGGAAAAATCATGAGAACCCTTCTTCTATATTGCACATTCTGTGAGGTTATAAATCACTCTTGACTCTCTCAATAATCGATTAATGAAAAGCTTGTTGTATTCATTCTGAATACAAGTAATCCTTGAATATGGGGACACTGAGCAGTACTTGAGGAGACAGGTTTTGTTTTTTTCACCATCTACAGCATCAGAACACAGGCAGAGGCTGATATTTCTTCATTAGTGGAGCATTTAGGATTCTGAAGGGAGTGATCAGATAAGGCTATGAATATGTCACCACTGCTGAAAGAAATCCATGTTAATTCCTTGGCAATTTGGGTGCAAATGCTGCACTTCCAGCCCCTTGATCTCTTGCAGGGCTGAAGGGTGAAGCTCAGTGCTCAGCTTCTACAAGAGGGATGGCAGCTCTCAGCAGACACCTTTAGCAGCAAGGTGTGACACTTGTGGCCAGAATTCGGGATGTAGCTGTAGAAGCTGCCCCAAGCCTGTTGACCTCAATGTTAGACACGTTTTCTTTTCAGTAGCATGCTGTGCAGGGTGTGATTCCAAGTGCTGGATGTTTAGTAGCTGTGACAGTTGCTATGTCTTAATATGTGTATATATGTGTGTGTGTGTGTATGTATATATGTGCATTTATAAGGTTAGACCAGAGTACATAGCTCTACCTTCCCAAGCTCTACTGTTCAGCTCTGAGCACTGTAAGAAGTCAGCTTTAGGTCTCTTACCTGCATTGTAGTGCTCTGATTCTCATTATCTACACTAGGCAGTGCCTTCCTTTATCCTACCAGATCTCATTCACGTTTTGTAGTTATAAGCAAATACCTTTAACATAATGTGTCTCCATTCTTCTTTCCACCTGCTCTATCCCCTCAGTGCTGCATATTGTGCACTCTTGCTGCTTCCTTCTTTTCCTCTTGCCTGTATGTTCTTTCTCTTTTATACATGATGAATGTTGACAATACCATTGAAATAGAAACCTGCCTGACTTGGAAGCTCAAATTCAAACCCACTCCTTGCTTGCTGGCATAGCAAGGGACTTCAGATACTTTAATTTAAATCTGTGCTCTGTGGATTTGACTCCACATCCTCACCTGACCTGAAAAGGCTTATTTTCCAGCACAGATGGGAAGTGAGTTGACAGTTTCTCATAAAATTGACTGGTAAGAGATGATGGTACCTTATCTTGTTTCAAACAAAACTAAGCCAAAATGACAGCTCCTTGGAACTGTTTACGTTGCATCTGCCTTGCCAGAGCTGTTCCAGTTCCAGGTGAATTTGGGAACTGTGAACTCTTCTAAGACAGCCAGGCTTTGTCTGGAGGAACAGTGAGTTTTTGAGAAAGCTCTTACAGATTTGTTCTGTTTTTCTTCCCTTTCTGATGTCCAAATCAGGACTTTGTGCGTGAGTGTGTGTGGCATTGAGCTTCATTGCAAAAGAGCTGCTCAGTTCACTTCTAACATTCCAGCTGTCCTGCACAGCCCTGATGTAAGGGAGGGTTTGGTCACTTCTGCTCCACTCCATTTTCCTACAGATTGGGATATGCAATCTGACTTTCTTTCCAGTTGCCGTTGGCTGTCGCTGAAGTCCCGGCTCGGTTTGCCCAGTGGAGTGCTGCCACCTAGTCGCAGCCGTCTTGGCTGCAGGCTCAGCTCCTCGTCCCTCTTGGGTGCCCACATCCAAGGCAGCGCTCTGGGATTCTGTGCAGCACAGAGACGCAGCGCTGCAGCGGTGAGACTCCTGAGGATCCTAAATCTCAAATTGTGTGGCAACTAAAAGGCTTGGAGCCAGTTTGTGTGCTGTGTATCTCAGGAGATGCTGACAGAGCACACAAAATGAGCTCCGGGGTGGAAAGGAGGGTGCAGATATATTTGCATCTGTTTGGCCAGCTGAGATATTCTAGGCCAGTTGGAAAGCAGGAGCAGTCCCCAGCATACACGAACCAAGGAGCCTTCTGCTGAGCTGCAGGGCGGTGCAGAATAGCCCTGGTGTGCTGAGCAATACAGCACAAGCTCTCTCCCATTCCCCAAATACCACACAGCAATTTGGCTGTGTTATTCAGGGTCCAACCAGTGCCCTGTGACTTCCTCTGGTAACTCAGCTCAGAACTTGGCTTCTTGTGGATCCAAGCCTCTCTCATCATCATGAGTCAAGGAAGCAGCCAAGCACACTGCTCCACCGCTCGTCTGCCACGTGTCATCGTGCGCATGTGCATGGACACGTGTTGTGCTCGAAGTTCTCACAAGCCTTTCCAAATGTTTATCCGGGATTAGGATAATTTGAACAAGGAGTCATAGAGTGTTGGCAGCGAGCCATGGAAAAGTAAGGCTACCTTACCTTCACAAAAGTATGGCTTACTTCTTACTTACCTTCAGCCAGTTTTGGTTGAAGCTTAACAAGACCTTGCAGATCCCAGTGGAAAATTTCAGGCTGAATCCAGCTTCATTGCTGAAAATACTTGTTCCTGGACATGGAAAAAGGAAAAAAGAAAAAAAAAAAAAAAGGAAAAAAAAAATCTGATTGTAAATATCCATGAAATAAGTCAAGATATGTCAATATGCTCATAGCTCAACATGATAGCCAAGATTTTGTGATCTCCACTGCCATAAGGCAAGAGTGCTCTTGACTTTTGGCTCATTCCATTATAGAGTCCAATGTCAACATGTGCAAGGTCCATTTGTATTTTAATGTGCAGTTTTCATTTTGATCTGAATCTCTGGATGCAATGCTATCAGGAGAGACAGGCATTCAACATCAGCTGCATCAGTGCTTTAAAGATACTCTAAATTGTGGTGACATTTAAAATGTGGTGGCAGACATCTGAGACAGCTGTGGCCTCAGCCCTCCAGGAGTATGCTTGCTTCCATGCTTCTCCCTCATTTAGATCAAGCCTGCATCTGCTCCTGATAATACCAGAAACCTTTGCACTGGCTGGGTTGGTGATTCATAGATTAAATATGTTGCCTTTAGAAGGTAGTGTATCTTTCAAACAAATCACTTTAGCCCCTTTTCATGATATCTGTTCATTATTGTATAAAAGAGAGTTGTAGCAGCACTGGTATTTCTATACCATTAATCACCCTTCAGGGAGGTGCGTAACTCACCAGTAGTTTGTTTTACATGCAGGGTCCACTCTGAGAGTGCATTTATTTTTATTCCCCTTTCAAATTGTCTGGAATTATTTTAAATTATATTTAAAGAATT